GTTTTAGGGTATCTCTAATGCAAATAATTCATTTGAGTTGTTTCATGCATTAAAAAATGAAAAAAGTGGTCTCTAGTGTGTTATGTCAGCATTAAGCAACTCAAACACAAATTTACTTCAATGGTAAGAAACTTTAAGAAATTCAACTTTTAGAATTTTTTTTCTAATTATTTATGAACCAAATTTAAATTTTTATTAAAAAGAATAACTGCACTACGATGAAAGAAAATAAATTACGAGAAAAAATACACAATAAGTAGATATTAAAAATAAAATAAAGCAATAGTAAATACATAAACATTATACGAAATTAATTTTCATCATTATTATTTTCGAAAGGTTCCCAAATATGCTCAATAAAATTTGTTTGAAATCTGGTAAGAAATGGTTGCTTGAGGAAGCAACTCTCTCTCTTCTTCAAGCAAGTCATGTAGTTGCCACGTCAAAATCCTCCAAAAACAAGAAACCGAAACTTGAATTGCTTCATGGGAGAAGCAACTCCCATTGAAGTTGCTCTTAGAAACTTATCAAATGTCACCAATAGTGCTTCAACTTGATCGAATTAATTTGCTCAAATATCTTAACCCCGCTCAATAAAATAAAATCAAACAGCACTCTATGCAAACATCGTATAATATTTTTTTTTATAGCAAAATAGGACCAGATTAATCAAAGAGATGTATTATTCTCTTCTAAGATCCATTTCAATGCTAACTTTCACTTTTTTATTTTTTGTAAGGCCACTTATAAGTTATACCTACGTAACATAGGTAGGTTATTGTTGTTTTTCTTAGAGCACCTAGGTTTATAGTGTTATTTAACAAATAATGATATATTAACATAATGAGTTTTAATCATTCACGTGCTGTTAATTCATTAAATATGATCACAACACATCAGCACTTTTTTTACAGCACACATCAATATGTTATAACCTGTTATTTCTATTTTTTAGTCGTTTACAATTTTTGCACATAGATTAAAAATAGAAGTAATATGTCAGCATTTTTGGTTAAATTTATCAATCCATCCTTAATTTATAATAGTTATTTTAAAATAAAATACAATAGAATATTATTTTATATTATCTTAAAATTTAACAGACATATTTAATTTCAAATTAAATTTAGATAAATAAACTAAACTAATGGTATTTTTTATCATCTATTAGCGATGAATTGTTATCATTTAATTAATGATTTTGAATTCGGATACTAAATATTTAGTTACGTTGAATATTTGAAAGAGGAGAATTTTCTTTTTCTTTTGTCTACAATACTTTTTTCCTTACGTCTATTATACTAGTCTTAATTACATGACATGAAGAATGCCTCTATTAGATAAAATTATGATCTGGAAAAAAAAGAGTACTTTTTAACGCACGAATCAGTGACTATTCTTCTGCTGTTTCTACCATGGTTCCTTCCTATCATATTTCCTTTTTTCTAGTTTTTGTCTTGGCCTGGTCGTTGTCTCTTTGGTAATTCTCATGGAATCATGCAAATGCGTTGCCTTGTGAATTGTCTTGGCTCGTATAGGATTCTATATGCATTTCGTCACGACAATCTTGACTATATATAAGCCCTGCCTCATCATCACTCACATGCTTTACTTTTAAACTGTCTTCATCCCCTTATTGCACATTCTTCTCCAAACCTTACAGTTCAACTTTATAACAGTTCAGTTCAGTTCAGTTTTTCTTAAACAGTTCGGTTCAATTTTTTTACAAACAGTTCAGTTTTTTATAGTACAGTTCAGTTCAGTTCAGTTTTTTTTGCCCACCCCTAACTAAAACAGCTAATTTCAGTGGAAATCCTTCCAACAGAAATTGCGTCACAGCCCAATGCTAAGATATCAGACCAAACTTATATATACACATTTTAGTAATTGATTTTATAAAACTGTTACTTAATTAGGTCGTGTTTGAAAAAAAAGTTGTTACAAAAGTTAGTCCCGTTGTTGCAGCTGAAAGTTGTAAAACTATTTTTTTTTTAAAATGTGTTATTAGAGGAATTTAACTGTACCCGCATAAATTTGATGGATTTTGAAATTGTTAAATTTTAAAGTATTAATAATAAATTCTTTAATTTTTATCATGTCATTGTTTTGTACTTGAATCAATTAATTGACTAGAAGCATTCTGAGCATTTAAAATTAGTGAACAAACAAAAGAGTAGCTAGACCTCTCACATTTTATCGAATAAAATTAGTATTACAAATATTTTTTCACTCCATGTTTCATAGTCTTAAAATTGTGTTTCTATACTTTTATTAAATAATTAATATAGTAAAATAAAGTAGTTGAAATGTGAAAAAAAATTGTATAAATGTGAAATATATAACTCAATGGTGGAAGAAATTGTATCAAAACACCTTAATTTATGAGGGTACTCCCTAAATCAAATACTTATAAACTTTGATGATTATTAATTTTAATTGAAAAACCTCCTTTAATAGTGTTTTTTTTTTCAATCACATTTTTTTCATCAAAAAATTTGAATATAATATTTTATTTAAGACAGAGTCCTATTTAACTTAACCAATGACTTGTTAATAAAAGTTGTAAAACAAGTTTCTTAAATTATAACTGTTTGGTAAAATTATTTGTTAGAATAATCGATAACTATGAAATGACAACAATAAACGTGTTTTATATGGTGTTTTTATATAATTTTTAATTTTACTTTATTGATAAAAATATCTTTGGGGTATTTTTCATTTTTTAATTAATTTAAACTAAAAAATAAAATTTAATATTTTAGAAAATATTACTTAAATTTATGTCTCGAAATATATTACAAACTATTAAAAGAAGCTTATTTACCAAAAACTACTAATGTCAAACAAACTTTTCAGTTAATAAGAAAAGCTAGAGATTAGCTGAAATGACTAATCAAACATAGCTAATCAAGAAAAGAAAAAAAGCCTAATCAATGATTTTATAAAATATTATTTATTTTTTACTGTTTTCTTTAATATATTTTATGTTAATATTAAATATTTAAGTGAATAATATTTTATAAAATTAGATGTTAACATAAATATTTTATTACGTTAAATTTATATGACTAAACCCTGTTCTCAAATAACAATACTTATCATTTATTACAAGTAGGTTCAGACGAGGGCAGGTATGTACTCTAATTATTTAAGCTTATTATTAACGAACTGATTAACTGTACGTGTAGCTAAATGTGGAGAAAGACAACACTAAATATAGAGAAAAGCTAAAATCTTTAAAAACTTCCAACTTTCACTATCCCGTTTAATAGGAGAATTCCCCAAAGATAGATTTCATTGGCACAGCATGAGGTGAGTTCTCTTGTATATAAATATGTCAAGTCACCACGGTTAACTCAGAAACATAGAATATAGGTTCTAAATTGCAGGTTGGTTGCAATTACAGCAGCCACATCATAATATCAAAACCTCAAGCTGCAATTTAAAACCTTAACATTCTATGTTATATATCTAGGTTAGGTTAAAGTTGGTAATCACCATGGCTACGACAAAGGCCCTTTTATTCTTAGGTAGTGTTTTCCTCTTTTGTAGCTTGATAGGTGCATCACGTGGCCATGGGACTCGCCGTAGCCTCCTTCCAATTCCAAATAGGGGTCCTGCAATTTTTGATGTAACAAAATTCGGTGCGGTAGCAGATGACAAGACCGACAATATTGATGTGCGTTTGAGTTATTTCACTATCTTCCTTGATTCAATAATGTAATTAACATAACTACATATACACGGTCAAATGATAATCAAACCAGGGAAATTGAAATTGTAATAGCACAACTTGTTTGTCACGGAGAATAACTTAAAATATATGAACATGAAAGAAACCTCTCATACATGATAAAGTAAGGGAAGAATTGGAATTTTTAATGATTATATGTATATATGCAGGCATTTAGGGCAGCATGGGGAGAAGCATGCAAAAACAGTACAACTCATGCAAAGGTTTTGATCCCAGCGGGAACTTTTCGGGCTGCTCAAACTATGTTTGCGGGGCCATGTACCAGCCCAAAACCTATAACCGTTGAAGTTATGGGAACTGTTAAAGCCAACACAGATCCATCTGAGTATGTCAGTCCAGAATGGTTCACATTTCAAGACATTGACGGCTTTGTGTTGACCGGAAAAGGAGTCTTTGATGGCCAAGGAGCTGCTAGTTGGCCATTCAACGATTGCAAGCAGACCAAAGGCAATTGTGCTCCTCTCCCATCTGTAAGTATATTCTTATCTTATTAAATAGATAATTTAGAATATAATAATATCATTAAAATAGAGTATATATACAAATTAGAAAATACTCTTTCATACCATGACTAAATTAAATTTAAAATTTACATTCATAAAATGATATTAAAGTTTATTCTACTAATACATAATTTTAGACATAAAAACATTGAAGTCATAAGAATAGTCTGGTGATTTGGAGGAATCACATAAGATTGGAATAATAAGGATAATGTGTGTATGCATTCCCCTATTAATATAACAATAGTTAATATTTGCCTAAAAAAAAGTCCAAGCATCACATTTATTTCTTTATGATGTACATTAATTTTATTCTTAATGCTCTAAAGTCTAAACTTATGAGTGGTAGAAAAGTTATTTTTGTATAAATATGGTTTGCATGACAAGTAACGAAGTTTATAAATGCATGACATGCAGTCCCTGAAATTCTATAAGGTGAACAATTCGATGGTGACAGACATCACTTCATTGAATAGCATGCAGTTCCACTTTCACCTCCACGGGTGTAGCAACGTTTCACTGTCGAACCTCAACATAACAGCTCCAGGAAACAGTCCTAACACAGACGGCATACACATAAGTGCGAGTGATAGGATTAAGGTGTTGAACAGCACCATCGGAACCGGCGATGACTGCATTTCCATTGGACACAGCACCACAGACATTTCTATCACTAACATTACCTGCGGCCCCGGTCACGGCATCAGTGTTGGAAGCCTTGGTAAGAGGCCAGAGGAGCGAAGTGTGAATGGCGTTACCGTTACCAATTGCACGTTCCTCAACACGACCAACGGCGCCAGAATCAAAACGTGGATCGGGACGGTGCCAGCGGAAGCCAAGAACATTACCTATCAAGACCTCGTCATGAACGGTGTGCACAATCCCATTGTTATTGACCAGAGTTATGGTTCCAAAATGTTAAGAGCGGTAAACAACTAAACCGTGCAACTTTATTTATCACTAGGAGAAAGAGAGGCACTGTTTGTTTATTTACTTTAAAAAATAAAAGAAGAAATGGGAGTATGTAATTAAGTTAAACAGAAAACAAGAATGTGTATAGTAAATTTTATAGGAAGAAAAAGTGAAAGTTAAATAAAATATGGAGAAAATATTAATTACTTAATAAAAATGAAAAATAAAAGTGTCTAAAGTGGGACACAATGGGATATTTCCATTAAAATATAGTTATAGATGATAGGGTTTGCTTAAGAATATAAGTATCCATATGTGGATTTTGTTAAAATATATTAATAATTGTTAAAATATAATTAAATTTTGTGAGAAACTCTTGTACCCTTTTGTTCTTATCTAACAATGATGTTTACACATGTACATGTTTAGCCATCAACTTCGGTGTGGAAGATCAGCAATATTCATTTCCGTAACATAAAAGGAACTACAGTCTCAAATGTTGCGGTGTCTCTAGAGTGCAGCACACGGAACCCCTGCGAAGGTGTTGAGATAACCGATGTAGATTTGACTTATGCTGGTCGTCTGCTAATTAATACAACTTTTGCATCCTCTTGTTTCAATGCAAAAGCTATTTTTGGAGGGATATTGAACCCACCACCTTGCTAATTCTTTTTATGGGGAACGAGCGTCTCAGGCTCTTACAGTTGCACCCATGTACTTGAAAAAAATAGAAATAAAAATAAAAAGATTTGTCAAACTATCAAGATTCAGGACCCATATTTTTATGTTTATACGTTTAATATCAACGTTTGCCTGGTGACATTTATTAAAATAATATCATAGATTAAGATCGTTATAACATTTATTTTAGAAAATAATATTATAAATAAAATAACATTTTTTTATCTTAATATCATTTTTTAAAATTAAGTGTCACATCAATTAAAAACATAATACATAAAAATATACTTCTTTCATTTCTAATTGTTTTAACCTGTGTTTGCATCCGCGTTGTAACGTGATTTTTCACGTTCAACTTGAAGTAACAAATATCTATTTCTACTTAAATTCGGATGCAAACGTGGAGAGAGACGACTGAATTGCGTTTCAGAATGAAAAGCAAACACACACTTAATTGAAGTCTCACGTTGAGTTTTGGATAACTGCATTTGTTCAAAGGAGAGGTATCACGGAAAACTCTGCACTCCTGAAGCACCCTCTGCGACCTCCCGTGGACACAACGTTGAAAGAAAAATGCCCTTAGAGTCGGCTGCTTCACTTAAGAAAGAGAACGGTGTTGTTTAGATCCATGTTCGGCTGATTGATCATATTGGGGGTAGTTTATCAAATTATTTATGTGAATGAGACTGTTTTTAAATAATATATCTTTGGAGTTCTTTTTAATGGTGTCATTATGGGCCATAACGATACCGATGACACGTGAAATTTTTTCAGTTCAAGGAAGTCATGAAAGTCATATTTACAATGTCGCTACAGCTCATGGCATCAAAAAATAGTTTCAATGAAATCGCTATAACCTACAGTACCTTATTTTTAATATAAAATAAAATATTTAGTAAAAATAAGTAAATAGTAAAAAAAAATGAATTTGTAAAAGTGGCACTATGACCTATCGCGACATTATGGCCTATAGCAACATAATGTCGCTATAGGTCATAGCGCCACTCATTTAAATATTAAAATACATAAATTTAAAAATAAATATATATAAAATAAAGAAATTTATAGAGAAGATAAATAAAAAAATATAAATTTATATTACATTCATAATATAAATTAAAATTTGAACATAAGAAATAAGTTAATAATTAAAAAAAAAAACGTTAAAAACAGTGGCGCTATGGCCTATAACGACATTGTGTCGCTATAGGTCATAGCGCCACTTTTAAGAATAATTAAAATACATAAAAAGGAATAAAAAATGTATAAAATTAAGAAATTACATAAAACAAATTTATAAATATAATGTTATATGAAATTGATAATAAAAAATAAAATTTGAAAAAAAAATTGAAGTTAATAATTTAAAAAAAAAAGGTAAAAAAGTGGTGTCGCTGCCCATAGCAACACCCTTTTTTCCAGTTTTTTAATTTTTTTATTTTATTTACTTATAATAATATAATTTTATTTAAATTATTTAGTTTGTGTACTTTTAATTCAAAATATAAAAATAAAAATTTGAAAATAAAACGTGATAATTTATAAATATAATATTATATGAAATTGATAATAAAAAATAAAATTTGAAAAAAAGAATTGAAGTTAATAATTAAAAAAAACGTAAAAAAGTGGTGTCGCTGCCCATAACGACATCCTTGTTTCTAGTTTTTTAGTTTTTTATTTTATTTACTTATAATAATATAATTTTATTTAAATTATTTAGTTTTTGTACTTTTAATTCAAAATATAAAAACAAAAATTTAGTATAATAAATAACTCAGTTTATTATTTTTATTTTACATTTATATTATTTTCATTTTAAAATTTTTTTTTTTTTAATGGGCTACATTGTTTTTGTTAGTCCATCAAGTGTGCTGGCTCAGCCTATAGCAACACTGATATGGCGCATTCCAGCCCAACCTAAACAAAAAAAAAAAGCCACGCGTTGTAAACAATCTCAAAGACGTAATTAATTGCAAAACAGCCTTATTTACGTAAAATGATTTTAAAACAGCCCCACTATAGTCAAAAAGCCTCCATGTTCATCAACTACATCACATGTTATCCTTGTCAAGGCTCCTGTGAAAATGAAACAAGTAACCTTTCAATTTATATATATATATTACTTATCCAAAATCAATTACCATATATTAACAACAAATTGCCACTTTAATTGTCATCCTTCCCCCTCCTAGGAAGTCCATTAGATCAACGAAAACCCTAAAACTTCTTACAAGATTCTCATATCAATTTATGTGACTTCAACATCCCCACATTCATCTAATTGTATCTGTGTCCCTTAATCCCCTTTATCCCCTTTATTATGTTATAATGTTGAACCAAAAAGACATACAAGCAGGCTATACAAATTGAAAATATATTAAGGCATGCAAGCTAGCTTCATTATGTCTTAGAGCAAAAAATGAAAAAAACATTGGTCATAACTAAATTACCTACCAAAAAACATCTTTTGGATAGAATCAAGTAAAAATTTGATGGCAACACTGAGGGTTACAAGGCTCACCTTGTTGACAAAGGTTGTTGACAAAGGTTTACACAAACTAAGGACTTTGATTTATTTGATACTTTCAAAATCTGATGTCAAGCTTGCACCATTAATTCACCTCATTCTAGCAAACTGCAATCATTTATTTTCAACTAGAAGTCAATATATGACACATTTCTACATGGCTCTCCTCATGAAAAGGTTTACACGAAAATTTCTAACCAAATCATGATATGGGTTAAAACATTCAAACAGGTAGTGATTTTCTCGCTCTTCCATTTTATTGATCTCATATGGCTACTAAACAATATTATTAGGCGGACCATTCCTTGTTCATATAGTACACATTGAGAATTCATTTACTATTTTTTCATAATTGAAAAATATACTTTTACCCACCATCAACTCATTTTAAAAATAAAGTAATACCTTGAATTGTATTCGGAATGTAACTTGCTTATGTTAATAACTTTATAAAAATTCACTTAATTTTAATTGAATTAATTAAATCGATTCTTAAAAAAAATAGCTTTTCTTCTTTATATTTTTTATTTATTTATTCAATTTTCAGTATTTTAGATTAGTTTTTATGAACATCTATTTATTTATATATCAGGTCTATTATTTCACTCTTTTACCCATAAAATATTAGGATCATTCCTATTTTACCTTGTACCCCATTAAATGTCGCAATTGTCCCACATTAAAGCGATTTTTTTTGTTTATATATAGATTTACCAACATCAAAGTATAAATAAAAAAATGAAGAAGTATCAAAAAAAAAATGTATCAACATCAGAACAACGCATTAAAACTTGACACAAATCTCTTAAGGGAAAGGAGGCGATTTATGAATTCCATTTCCTCCTACCAACGAATTACATATGAAATCAACACATAGCAAAACATGCATCACAAAACGAAAAACACATTGAATAAAAAAAATGATTTCCAATTTGAAGCCATTTGAATGGATGTCATGTAGAAGGTGGTTTAATAACCGTTAGGGGCTGGTGCAGATTGCGAGGTGCAGAAGAAAGGTCCCACAGTGTACAATTTCAGGTTATTGTGAAGAAGGCGATAAGAAGAAAGGCGAGCACCACTGATCCCATAGTTCACATCGGTGGGAATTTTACATGTCTCCAAAGGAGAACTCTCTAGGTATGCCTTGCATTCAGTGAGCTTCAAGTTAGATCCAAGCTCCGCAAGTGACAATGTGCTAAAGAAATAACCTTTACTATCTGTTACATGACTCAATACTGATATAGGACCTGTCTCGTACCCACGCTCATCCTCATAGCCACATGTAACTCGTGCCACAGCTCCTGCACCCCCACACGTGCCAAATACAATTAATAACAAATATACATCACCAAAGTTCAAACTTACCTAAACTATTTAGTTTCAACTTCTCGAAATGAAAATAAACATTTTTTACAACATAGGCCATAAGAAATGTTGCTAAAAATAGTAAGTTTTGTCTTTTCCTCCCTTTTATTAGATCAACAAAAATATTACCTTGAATTGGGAAATAATTTGAGCCTGATTTACATAAAACAACTCCTTGGACACCAATGATTGTGGGAAGCAGTTGCAGTTCATCTTTTCCTTTTTGTTCGGGAGCTGCATAATATGGTTTTGTAGGGTGTGGTTTGTAATCATCAGATTTGGGTTCGGGCACTGCATAATCTGGTTTTGTGGGTTGTGGTTTGTAATCAGTCTTTGGTTCAGGCACTGAGTAATCTGGTTTTGTAAGGTGTGGATTGTAATCAGTGTTGGGTTTGGGCACTGCATAATCTGGTTTTGTAGGCTGTGGTTTGTAATCGGTTTTGGGTTCGGATACTGAATAATCTGGTTTTGTAGGTTGTGATTTGTAATCAATTTTGAGTTCAGCTGTATAATCTGGTTTTGTAGGTTGTGGTTTGTAATTGGTTTTGGATTCAAAATTCTCAAACTCTGGTGTTGGACCATATCCATATCCGTAGTCAGTAGCGGAGGCAATGACTAGAAATGCGAAAAGAAGCATAGTGGTTGCCAAGGTGGTTCCAAAGAAAGCCATTAGTGAATTTCTTTGTGATAATGGTTTTGTAAGAGGGTATAAAGAAATGCTTCAAAGTAGTGATGAGGTACAATTCACCGAATTCTTTGGCTATTTATAGAAGCTTAATGATTTATTCCAAGGAGCTCAAGCACAATGCCTTGAATATGATTGGATTGAGTGACATAGTTCATTGCACGTTCTGAATTAAAACCATAAAATTCATGGTGACCGAATAACTTGTCCTGTGTGGCCTAGAACGTGATTTTCACATCTATAGATTCTGTACAGGACATCAGATTTCATTAGCAGAATGTTTCCTTTCATGAAAAGTTTAAATACCAAAATCTATGACTGGGTCACCTATTTCATGGAGAAAACGTTGCCCCGGAAAATATTCAAATAAAATATGAAATTTCTGTAATAAAAATATAAAAGATAGCACGATTCTTGATTGTGTGTATGTATAATTTTCAAGAAAGCAAGTTTTCAGAAAGCTAGGACTCATCAACTTCTTATTTACTGTGATAGTAATTTAACATTGCCTTAATCATGCTTATATTTAGGATGGTAAAATGTAACCGAATTTTATGAGTACCGTAAAAAATATTTTTAATGAAAACATAAAAATCCGCATAATAATATTGAAAATAAACTTATATAAAATGGTGATTGTATTTATATACATTTACTCAAATATTTACATAAAAACATCTTAAACTAAATATATATATTTTTTATAAATAGATATAAATCACCTGATAATTTTATAAATAAATAAGAAATAAAAAATATGATTAGTATCTGTAATTTATAAATAACATACAAATAATTTTTTAAATCCTATAACATATAATTGTATTTTGTTTCATCTTTTTCTTCTTCTTTTTTCATCCTTATTAAAAAAAAATTGCTTTATTATAGTCCTTGTTGTCAGTTTTATCTGTCAAATCTATAAAAAAAAAAAAAAATTATAACGACCAAAAGAGAAAACTCTGCTATTCTAGGAACGAAAGTTGAAGGATGAAAATAAAAATAACCAAATTAAGAGAACTACAATTAAAATAGTATTATATGATTGACACTAAATAGCTGTTTAAGCCAAATTTTAAAAAATTAAACCTTCCAACATTGCAAATGTACTTATGGGAAGTAGAAAAATAAACCTACAACAAATTAATGCACTAGTGACCTTGAAAAAATTATTAAAAAAAATTGAAAGAAAAAAAAAAAACTAAACAAAACAATGTCGTAGAAGTCATGCCATAAGAGAAAGGAGAAATAAGAGCTCCAGAGGAAGCTCAACGTCTTTGAAAGCCGTGATTTTGATAATATGCTTGTTTTTTTCTTTGTATTTGGGAATTCGGCCTTATATTTTTATTTTTGGGCTTTGAGCAGTTGACCTAGTTTTGTGTAATTGGACCGTTTGGTCCAAATTAGCTTGTTGTGCCTTTAATGATTAATTAAATGATGTCTAAAATGGTCCATGAAAGTGGTGTCTACTTTGTCGTTTTGTTGGTTTTTAAGTTATCTCCGTTATAGTTGAGTTCAGTCTTGTGTTGTGTTTTATTAAAAATTACTTAGTCTCTCTAAAATTTTTAAAATTTATTTTTAGTCCTCTAAATTTTTTATATTAAATTAATCTTTGTAAAAATAAAACAGCTAAATGAGGTTCTTGAGAAAAGCTAATTTCATTTTAATGCTTCGTCAAAAATAAGATTTCTATTAAAAGTAGATATGATCAAATATGGGTAGACATAACAAAAAACAAGTTTCCTCAATAGATGACTTACCATTATAATAACTCACAAATATACATATGTTGTAATAGTGAATATAATGAAAAAATATATATATAATTATATATATTGTTCATTCTAAATAAGATAGAATTAACATCTCTCAAGAACTAAACTCAACTTGTTATACTTATATAGAGACTAAATTAATGAAAAAAGAAATTGGAGAACCAAAAGTGAATTTGAAATTTTTTAGAGATTTTTTTTTTCATATTTGCTTCATGTATTTCTCTTTGTCACATAAGACAATGTCATTGATAATTTAAAAAAAAAAAAGGAAAAAAAAAGTGACTTTGGCATGTTATAACTTCAAAGAGATTAATTTAATAAAAAAGAAAAATGGAGGAATAAAAACGAATTTGAAAAATTTTAGAGGAATTTTAATTCTTTTATAGGCTTTATACTTAGTTGACTTTGTTTGTGTAAAATACTAATGTAAGCACTCAATTTTGTCTATTTTTTATATTTATTTATTTTTTATATTTTGAACTTAGAGTTTTGCTGCTAATTACAACGAGAGTTTCTCTATATCTTTTGAAATCATTCATCCGAATCATCCTCCGAACCAATAAACTATTCATACCTATCATCAGTTTTATTTAAAACATTTCTTTAAATTCAATACTTTAAAATTTTAAAATTCGGAGATTCTTTTGATTAGAATTTCTAAGGATGTAGCTTTTTTTGCGTTTTATTGCAGTGGCGTTCGTAATTGTTGAAAGAAATATGATACATTCTTCGAAATTTCTATTAGAATTAAAGAAATGTTTTAAATAAAATTGTTGAAAGAAAAATGATACATTCTTCGAAATTTGTCGGATGAATGATTTTTCATTCTACAACACAGTAAAAATAAATAAATAAATAAATAAATAAATAAAACTCTCTCCCTACAACACAACCCCTTTATCTCTTGCACTTAAGATTGATGTCATAGAATCTTACACTGGAAACCTTTGTGATCGTAATCATACTCTCTCACTCACAAATCACTCATCACTTTTTCGATCCATAACGACTCCAACGCATGCATTATATCCTTTTTCATGCAACACCCTTCACAATCACAAGCACTCAACATGGAACCAAGTTTGTATCTAAACCAGAACCAGCATCAACGTACAATTCACGTTGTATTACCGTCATTCATGCGTTCATACTGTGCATGGGATGAAGCTTTCTTCCGCTTCTGCTATTAAGCCTTTGTTTTTTCTTTCTTTTATTTGCACTATAAATATTACCATTTAGTCTATTAATTACTACATTGATAGTTAATATCTCTATTTGGAAAAGTACCCTCTGCTTTACGTGACCTTCAATCCATGCCTTCTTTTTTACTTTGTTTCTTAATACTCTATATACTCAAATCATTTTATTTTTGTCTCATCTGTTTTGTTTTCTAATTTTGTTGACATTGATTGTTTCATTCTTTCCTTTTATATCTTTTATCTTATTACAACTTTGTGTATAGTATTATTGAACATGAGTTATTTTTAATGTGCTTTTGCTTGGGCATTATTTATCTAAATTGAGTATTTATAAATTATGTGTGTTGTTTACGTTAATAAAGTTGATTGGAAAAGTGATTCAAAACCAATGGTTTGTGTTTAATTATAACAATAAAATGTTAATATATAATAAATTATAGTAACTAATATAAAATTATTTTTTGTTAAATTGAAATTAAGTTATATAATTAATTATTAATTATAAATATAAAACAAGAAAATAAAATTATTTCATAAATAAGGATTGATTGGATGTGACATTTTTTAACTCTCAAAGTCTTTAAAACATAAGTTGTGACAATTTAAGTATTCTAAAATTCTAAAATAAACATATAATCATTTAAAATATAAGTTTATAATACAATTAAAGTTAACAAGTAATTTTAAACATAAATGATCGATTAGATGTGACATTTTTTTGATTTTATAATTTTTTATTTAAGATATAGGTTATGATAACTTGATAGTTTTGAAATCTTTTAAAAATAACATGTTCCGTAAATCATGAACTCTAATTAACACTAACCTATTAAGAAATAAATCATTTCAAGTAATATTTGGTAGGAATTATTTGAATGTCACCTTTTTTTAACCCTAAAGCTTAAATTGTCTTAAAGCCTTTCTCTAAATTTAAAATATAAAATTCATATCATAAATGTTAACAATATTACTACATCGTTTCAATAAAATAGTTAAAATCATCAAAACAAAAATTATATTAGAGAATTGACAAATTAGATGTAACATATCCTTAATTATGAGATTTTAAGGTACAAGTTGATTAGATAGTTTGATATCTTATATTTTTTTTTCTAAAACAAATAAAAAAAATATTACATAATAATCAAAATTAAAATATTGTAATCAATTGACTTTGATATTCATCTTTGTCAGATTTTTATTTTAAGATGTATGAATTGTTACAACTCAAAAAATTCTAAATTTAAAAAAAGTAAAATTTAATTTAAAATATTAACATAAATGTTTTCTACAAAAAAATTTATGTCATTCTGACCATTATACATGAAGATACATATGAGTAGGAAAATGACTCATGTCAAGCCAAAAAATAAAAATAATAATATTATCTCTCCCTCTTTTTATAATAATAATAATTTTAGTTTTTATTAAAATAAAATAAAAATACTTGTTTAATAAAATATACTTGATTATCGTCTTGATTAATTTGGGTGAGACAAATATTTTAAAAGTTATAAATAGTTTACTTAATTAATTTTAAGTATAATTTTTGATAGACATTATAGGATTTTGATATCTTTCCTATATATAACCTACTTTCGAATTTAAAATTTATTTTCATAGACTATTTTTATTATTATTTTTCTAATATTTTTCCTTAAAATAAATATTGATAAACGATTCCTTAACTACAACTAACATATGTGAGAAACTTTCTCTTATTGTTGCTACAACTAACATGTGTGAGAAACTTTCTCTTATTGTTGTAAGAATACTTTGATTAGAATTTCTACACTTTTTGTTGGTGAATATTTCTTAACTAAATAATTCTTCATGGATTGTGACAATATTCTTCCATATCTTGTCTCATTTCACCTTTATTTTTTTATTTTTCCCAAATTGAGGAACCTTTAGGTTCTCTTAGTTTTCATTGATTTTGGTGATTTTGACACTGAATTGGATCCAAACCATGGGAGAAGTGACTCATAGGATCGTGCCATCACTTTCAAGTTATAAAACAAATGTAAGTGAGATATAGAACGTTCCTTATAGGAGTCCATGCATGTAACACTTCTTAGATAACACTGTAATATATAAGAAA